CTGATGGCTTAAATGATATAACAGTGGCGTATAGCTTTTCTGGAAGGCTACCCTGTTGTTTCTTCCAAAGCGAAGGTTTCGATACCATGCCGTATTGGTTTGTACGCGAAGAGGTGATGGCAAGCCTCGCATTTCTCATGGCAGGCAAGCGCCTATGGTAAACTGAATTAAAGTGATCATCGAGCAGTTTGTGTTTTCGGAGCAAGACACAAGTATCGAAGGCTGCGGACTGCTTTGCAGTGGATTTTCTCGATGCAGGAATTCCAGTGAGCCCTCGAACAGGTGACTTTTCCGGTAAGATGGCTTCACAAACGAAACTGTTATTCTGTGGAAGCACCACATATGTAGCATGAGCTGATGTCTCTTTTTCGTATTGCTAGATAACACGGATATCTTAATTAAAAGTTCTTCGGTATCAGTACGGGACGATGGTACTCACCAGAGAGCTAGCATAGCGTGCGAGAATAGCAAGGGCAGAGTGGTAAGTCAGCTTCGCGCCTGTAGCCTTGATCACAAACGTTCGCTTCTCTTCTTCACCTTGGAGGATTGAGTCTAGATCGCTGTCAATTCCGTGAAGTATTCGGTCCTCTGGAAGTGTTTCACAGAAACTCTGCATAAGTTTCTAATATTGGGTTAGAACTATCAGCCGTATATCAGTTTTTTACACTTACTTCGGCCTCCCGAACCTCGACCAGTCGTGCTTTATGATCAGTGTTGTACCTCTCAATCATACTTGCATACTGTGTGTATTGGAGTCAGAGTTTTTGGACATATCAGTGATCAGGTTCTTGTCTTACCGTCGAACTTGAATGTCTAGCGCGACCACGACTTTGCACATACTGTATAAGAGTATTGTATAAGTCGAATCTAATCTGTTAGCATAAGCGAACCTACAATGTGGTGATACATACCTAACTACAAGATTGCAGTCAGGAATATCGAGTCCTTCTTCGGCTACTGAAGTAGCAAACTTTTACTTGTTAAACCTGTGGACGGACGCAGAGGGCTAGTGTTACTTACCAAGCAGTTAATCTCCCCACTCCTGAATTTCACCAAAGCGAGAAACTGTTGGCGAAACGACACGTTCATTCCTACTATATCGCCAGATCGGACACCAATCAGCACACCAGGCCGTAGGTGAGGTATCTCTAAAGTCGAGAAAAGGTCGAATAACATCTTGGCAGTGTAACGCTTCTGTGTAAAGATGATACATTTTGTCTCCGTTGTATGCTCAAAGTATTTGGTAAGCTTTTGGCGTAGAAGTTGTACTTTAGGGCTCAGTTCACTCGGACCGTTGGGGCTATTCAACGAATGATTCTTGACAATATCACTAGCTTCCTGTATCCTTGATATTTCCCTGAGAGCGCACTCGGGAATCTGTGATGATATAGATTGGGCTAGTTTTCTCACATTTCCTTCAAGCTTCGGTAACACATCGTCTGCTAAGGCGTGCGCCCATGCACGATCTGCGCAACATGGTCCCAGTTCAGAACTAGCCTGTAACGTAAATCTGAACACAGGTTGCAAAGAGCTAATGTCACCAAAGCGGGCTTGCAAGATCTGATATAGTTTGGTCGCGAACGGCGGATTGAGCGTATCGTATTCCCAAGATTCCTCTATCGGACGTCTGACGACTTCTCTTAATAGACTAAGTTTCGATGTTGTGGCAATCTTGCTGTCTAAGAGAGCCTCCAGTTTCCTATGGAATGTAAGTTAGGGCGTTGTACTGTATACAGCAGGACATACATAGCTGATTCTATGATATCGCCCTTGGTGTCAATAGGCGACGCTGTCATTCCAAAGATTCTTGGACGCTTTGTCGGGTCTGCTTGGAGATATGATTCTCTTATAATTCTGTAAAGAATAAGGGCATTATCATCAGCCTAAGTATGTTTTTCTCTTTTCTCAGCTTTGCCAAATACATACCGTGCGTAAGGATGGTCTTTCTTCGTGTGATGGGCTTCATCAAAGATGAGAAGGTTAATTTGATCCATTCTAATGTGTGAGTTGAGTAGACATTGATTCAATATCTCTGCGGTACAAACTATCACCATATTTTTCTCAAAATGATGGTCCCAGGTCTGTTTACTCCAAAGGTCGGTGCCCATAGCGCCAAAAAAGTGTGCGACATTCTGATCTAGATTGTTGCGCAAGACGGCCGCCTGTTGAAAAGCAAGCGTCACGCTGTCCACCTATTTGCAAATTAGCGCCTCCCAAACAGCTAGGCGTTGCATGTATACGAACAAGGAAAAACGAGATACGATGTGGCATTCCGTTAGCGCGATCGATCAACTCATTGTGGATGATGTGCTTTAGCAAAAGCACGGCTATCAAGGTCTTTCCAGACCCTGTAGTACAATTAGGCGAAAGGAAATTGATGAGATTTATTGAGTTGGGCCAGGATGCACGTACCGGTATCGAGAACCGCAATGGTATTCTGTGACTTTGCCCTTTCAAAGAGTTCTACCTGATATTCTCTCGGGTCAAGCATCCCAGTCCCGGCATCTTGTCTTGCTACCAAGCTTGCTGTAGACAGTTCAGCGTCAGGCAAGTCAAGCGTGGGTCTGGCACTATTTCCGGTGACAGTATCAGCTCGTTCAAAAAGCCTAAGTATAAATCAGCTATGGGTGGCAAAGAGCTCTGGGCCAGAGATCGTACAGAGCTTCGAACTTGGCATTTTGGAGTCTTTTCCTTTGATAAGCGAGCTTTTGAGTGGGTATTCGTTCGTCGTCTCCCGGATCTTCTGAAGAGCTGTCCTTTCCTTCAGTTGGCTCAGTTGTAGAAATAGTCTTTTCCTCAGACAGATTCATATATGAGGGGATCCTGGGGCTTTGGCCACTGACATGGCCAGCTAGACTCTGTGCCTCTGATGATGGCATTTGGGCTTTGCCTAGATTGCTCAGAAATCATACAAGGAGAATCAAACGGACGTGTGCATTGGAATATAGTACAGATTGGTACTTGGTGACTGAAAGGAAAGGCAGAATAAGTGGTACGATGTTGTGAAAGAAAATTTCCTTCGAAGTGAATAGGCTTACACCACACTGTGAAGTGGAGGAAACAGTAAGTACTGGAACTAGGTAGCAGTATGGGTGTCATGATGTTACACTGCCTAAGACTGTCTAGTAAACACATGGATTTATATAATGTAAAATATGTCATTTTTGAAAAATCTCTCGTAGTTAAGTAAACCTAGCTGGTAAATTTTCCTTTGTTGGTTAGCTTTTCAGCGATAATAAACAGAGTCAGAAGGTAGACGGAAGTCTACAATAGATTGTTGAAGAGACTTTATAGTATATACTCCTGCGAAGTCTGCCTATACCCCATCAACATTAAATGTGTTTAAATTGGTGGGGCCTGAGGTTCCGATGGCGCGGAGCGGACCCATAATTGACCTTAAACTATTTCTATAATTTTATTTTACCCCTCTCCGCGGAGCTCTGTTTTATGCGGCTTTGATCTTTACAAGCATACTACCCCGAACCCCGACAATGGAACAACCCCAGAACCTTCGCGCGATTTTTGCTGCTGCAAAATTAGAGAAGTCAGCATTGGAAAGTCGCTTCGATACTAACACAGATCAATATCGCAATGATGTCAATGCCACAATAGCCAAGCTTGAGGAATGCGCACGGCTCGTTGCGGTCCTATCGTTATTCAGCTCGAACGAGCCGCTGGAAGATATCGCAACTGGGGATTTACCGTAATCTTACCCACTCATCGTTTCTATATCCTGACCCAGACTAATTTCTTCCGGTTCACACTAGGTATCTCACGGTGTCATACCATCTTGCGGAGCTCCTACAGAGATCGTACAACTCAGACCGCGTGTCTAGCCTTCGACGTGCACTTGAGCAATACGAAAGATACCTCACGCGCTTGGATGATTATGAATTACTCAATGATAAGGATAAGAAGCTCTATGAACGGTATACTGCGAACCCGGCGTCCTTTTCGCTGACGCCTGTCAATGACGCCGCTGCCCGGAGAGAGGTGAAGATAAATAGGTTTAGGGAAGAAAAGGAGCTCAAACAGAGGCTTCAGGTTGGATAGACTCCACTTTGAGGAGTTGGCAATTTTGCTGACGTATCTGAAGTACCTCTCGGATAATCAAAGCCGGCTCCAGACCGACGATGAAGATGTTCGACAGCTCTATATTGCAGAGATCAAACTGTATACTCATCAGACGTTTCAATCCTTGGACCTTCTTTCACAAGAGCTGTCTATGCTATCGTCCATTCGCAACGCGGCACCTACCCATGATCAAATCCCACCCGAAGACACTAGGCGCCGGAAGGACGCCCAACACTCGGTATACTCTGAACGATTGGATCCTCCCATTTCCCAACTGTTACAAGGAGGCAAGTTTGGACCGATATTGAGTAAGGATGGGAAACCATTGCAGCCATTTACACTACTTGATCGGCGGACACAGCTCCAGCAAGGTGTTTTCCGATCTGGTCACAATTTACCTACGATGACTATCGACGAATATCTCGAAGAAGAGAAGAGAAGAGGCGGCATTATTGAAGGTGGCGAGAAGTCTGGTGTACAAGAGGAAGTTGATGAGGACGATATGGATAGGGCTGATGAAGAAACTATGAAAGCTAGAGCCTGGGATGAGTTCACAGAAGCCAACCCACGAGGCTCGGGAAACACCCTGAATAGAGGTTAATATCGATTGGATCATCTGTTTCCCATTTAGTTCACTCTCATATCATAATTTCGGGGCCCCAATTACCCTGTCTTGCGATGCTTGTTAAGATCTATCTATGACATTAGGATTCTTTCGTTGTCTGCCATTATCATCTCAAGACTCAAGAAACGTAGTTACAGATTATGTATTTATGGGAGGGCGACAGGCTTCCATGTAGTGCTGCTTTTCAATGGCACGTCTGAGATTTTCTCAGTTATGTACAGTTGTCCGTCTAGATACAATTTCTGAATCACGGAAAAGACCAGCCCTCCGCCACAGGACGTCTATCTATACATTGTTATGATCAAGCCGCCTGCTTATTACGCTGGATATCCTCGAGGATCTTCCCTGCTCCCTTGACTACTAATTCCTTGGCAACAGTCACGCCAAAATCCTCAGCAGCTTGAACGGAGTCGACATTTCCATCGATTTCGACCTCAGCGCTTTCCTTACCATCCACGCTGACAACGATGGACCTCATTCGGAGCTTCTTCGCACCGTCGGAGGATTTAATCCATTCGGTTTCAACCCCAAGTGGCGCACTGCAGCCGCCTTCAAGGTTCGTAGCAGACTTCGCTCCGCGGTGCTGGCAAAAGTCGTCTCATTATGACCAATATTGTTCAGCATATCACGCATCACCTGATCATCCTTTCGAATTTCGATGCCCAACGCACCCTGGCCGACTGCATAAAGCATACCACCGTTTTTCGAGTCCAGGTACTGCGAGATGCGATCATCGAGACCTAGTCTAAGTAAACCGGCGGCTGCCAGGATAATGCAAGTATAAGGTGAATCTTCCGCATCTAGTTTGGAGAGTCGTGTACCGATATTCCCGCGCACATCAATAACCTTTAGGTGAGGGTATTTCAAGGCCAATTGAGCAGTACGGCGGATGGAAGAGGTGCCGACGGCGGATCCTGCAGGCAAATCGGATAAAGACATGTTCGGTAGCCCTTTCTTGATGACCAGGACATCCCTGGAATCTTCACGCTCCATCATAGGGCCCAGTGTACACGCGGGGGGTAGGGTAGTTGGTACATCTGAGGACAGTCACTCTATCAGCGTCCCTTGCAACATTGTTATTAAGATACGCGGATAGCAAACCTTTTAATGAGTGAACAATTAAGTCCACATTGCCGGCCATTAAGTGTTGCTCTAACTCCTCTGTCCATAGGTTCTTAGTCGTAAATTCTCGAAAAGCAATGGTTGTGTTCAAATCGCCGGCAGTTTCCTGCGAGTGTATTTTGAATTCATAGTTAGGGTAAACCTCCTTAAGTGCCGAGACCACCAGATCAGTTTGCGAAAGGGCAAGTTTAGACTTGCGAGTCCCAACGGTGAATGTTTTGCGCGATGAGGGGTTGGCGGCGCCAGAGGCGGGGTTCGATGCAGAGGCCATGGCGACACTTGAAAGCGAGAGTATTGCACTATGTCCTCTCAAGAGTACAGAATCTGCGAAACTGCTCGTAAAATGATAATCCCTCCGAGGAGAGTCGGTTAAACGACAGAGCAATATGTAATGGGAGGAGGAGTGGCGTAACGTCAGGCTGGAGGCTGCCGAAAAACTAAGGTTGGAGCCAGAAATGGAAGGACAAAAGCGGTAGTAGTACTGTATTGTCTGTATCGTATCGGTAATCCGAATAAATTCCGACTGATCTTATATGGAAGATCACGAGATCACCGGAAAACGGACAAAGATAAGACGGAAGATACAACACAAACGAACTAGAGATCAAAGAGTTGACAGTTGCTTGTGAATCTGTGTAATATTAGATTTCTTTACCTGGGGAAGATTTACCCATCGCTGAAACACAGGCATCAGCCTTCCTTCAGCCTTTTTCCCCGGATTTGTGACAGACGGATTTGTAGCCACACGAACCTCGGCATCGGGAGACGGCTTATCACTGGCGATCATCTCCCCAGAGTCACGGACTTCATCGATGGGGTTCTGGAACCGTCGCCTCCACTACCTTATAACCGACAACCTTCTTGTACTTCCTTAGGAGACCGCTCCTTTCATCTCCCTTCCTTTCCTACCACTATCCGGTCCCTCATACATTAAAGCTGCTCTAGTTCTTTTCTTTCCTTGCTATTCTTCCTTTTCTTCCCAGACGTGTGAAGTGTCTTTCCGATCGAACAGATCGCGATGGGCTCCAACAACGGAAGAACTACCAAGCTTGCTCTCGTACCACTCCCTAAAGGCTCTGTTCTCCTTCCCGGAGTTACCCTACGGATCCCTGTCGCTAATCGACCTGATCTTTCCAATCTTCTTTCGTCCCTGGTTGATCGATCATCGGCCGTAAAGCGAGAGGGGAACGTGATCACGTTCGGTTGCGTTCCCCTTAACTCGCCGTTCTTAAGTAAGGATGGTCAGCATTTGATTGACAACGGAACTTTGGATGAAAGTAGGAGAGAAGAGTTTGATGCCATTGATGCAGGCCAGGCAAGGAAGGAAGATCTCTTCCGTTATGGCACAATCGGCAAAGTTATTGGCGTCCAACGCCGTGCCTACTCAGAAGCGTCCCTTGTGGTTCAAGGAATCCAGCGATTCACAGTAAAACGCATCCTGAAGGAAAGGCCTTATTTTGAAGCAGAAGCCATTTTACATGACGAGAAAGGTTAGTCTACAAACCGTTTTTGATATGTAGTGCCACCGAAACTGATGGATTCCTTTCTTTTTGGACAGACTATGTGTCTAATGATCCGGAAACCGTTGAGCTATTCCAGCAGTTGAGGCGACTCTCCCGGGAGCTACTGACCCTATTACGACTTTCCTCGCTGTTACCTTCTTCTTCAACACGTTTATCGCCACTCATTGCCCGCAAGTTCGAGCTGTTCATTTCGAAAACAGATTTGACACAGGCCGGGAGGTTAGCTGATTTTATGGCTGATATTGCTGAATCTGGAATCGAAGACAAGCTTCGGGTCTTAGCTTCGCTGGACCATAAATCCAGACTTGAAAGAGTGGTTGAAATGCTTAATAGACAAGTTCAAAGTATCAAGAGCAATGTTAAAGTCACCACCATCACCACGAATAGCTTCCCTTCATTTGACGTCAACCAGATCGATCCTCGTGATCGCGAGCTTCTTGCGAGGCGGGCCATGGCTGGTCTTACTGGGCTGACACCCCCAGGCGTCGCAGGCGGAAGAAATAACGACGGCGACGACAAAGAGGCAAACGAGGTTGATGAGCTTCAACAAAAGCTACAAGAGGCCCAGCTTAGTCCCGAGGCTCGAAAGGTGGCCGATAAGGAGTTGCGTCGCCTTCGGAAGATGAACCCGGCCAATGCCGAATACGGTGTTTGCCGGACGTATCTCGAGAACATCTTGGAAATCCCATGGACCAAGGTCACCGAAGACCAACTCGGTCCCGACACTTTGAAAAGAGCCAGGCAACAACTTGATGACGACCACTACGGCCTCGAAAAGATTAAGAAGCGGCTTCTTGAGTATTTGGCCGTTCTTAGACTAAAGCAGTCCACGAACCAGAACGTCGAACATCAAATTGCCGCCCTCTCTAAGGACCTTGATAGTTCTTCCGATGCAGGCGATATTGAGAAGGACCTTCCAGGCCTGTCTGAGGCAGATCGTGTTGCTGTCGAATCTAAGCTCCATCTTCTGAAGTCGAAGCGCATGACTGACAAGTCTCCGATTCTGCTGCTTGCTGGGCCTCCCGGAACTGGTAAGACTAGTCTAGCGAGGTCTGTGGCCACTTCTCTTGGACGTAAATTTCACCGTATTTCTCTCGGTGGCGTTAGAGATGAGGCGGAGATTAGGGGTCACCGCAGGACATATGTTGCCGCAATGCCAGGTCTAATTGTCAATGGCCTCAAGAAAGTTGGCGTTGCGAACCCGGTCTTCTTGCTCGACGAGATTGATAAGGTCGGCGGCGCCAATTTTCAGGGAGATCCTTCTGCGGCTATGCTCGAGGTTTTAGACCCCGAACAGAACCATACATTCACAGACCACTACATCAATATCCCAATCGACTTGAGCAAGGTTCTTTTCATTGCTACTGCTAACTCGCTTGATACTATTCCTCCACCTTTGCTTGATCGTATGGAGACGATCTCGTTGTCTGGGTACACTACCGTCGAGAAACGGCATATTGCAAAGAGGCACCTGATTCCAAAACAGATTGAAACCAATGGGCTCTCAGAAGGCCAAGTCATCCTTTCTGATGAGGTTATTGACAAAACAATTACTTCATACACCCGAGAGTCTGGCGTCCGTAACCTAGAGCGAGAGCTCGGCTCAATTTGCCGTTATAAAGCAGTCCAGTATGCCGATGCGGGAGATGCAGGTCATCCGGAAACTTACAATCCCATTGTTACAATGGATGACCTGGAGGAGATACTTGGTATCGAGCGATTCGAAGAAGAGATCGCTGAGAAGCATGGGCGTCCGGGAGTTGTTACCGGTCTTGTCGCTTACTCTACAGGAGGACAGGGTAGTATTCTGTTCATCGAAGTTGCAGATATGCCAGGAAATGGTCGCGTACAACTTACCGGCAAGCTGGGTGACGTCTTGAAAGAGAGTGTTGAGGTGGCCTTGACATGGGTCAAAGCTCATTCTTACGAGCTGGGGCTGACTCCGGATCCCAGCGAAGATATCATGAAGAGCCGTAGTTTGCACGTTCATTGTCCTTCCGGAGCCATCCCCAAGGACGGCCCCTCCGCTGGACTTGCACATACTATTGGCCTGATCTCACTGTTCTCGAACAAGGCTGTACCCCCCAAGCTTGCAATGACTGGAGAGGTATCTCTCCGTGGAAGAGTGATGCCTGTTGGGGGTATCAAGGAGAAGCTCATTGGGGCACTCCGTGCTGGTGTCAAGACCGTGCTCTTGCCTTATCAGAACCGCAAGGATGTCAAGGACGTTCCTCAAGAGGTCAGCGATGGTCTCGAGATCATCTATGTCAGGTAAGATTCATCTATACTCCGTTCTTGCTGCGTACTGACAATTTTCCAGCCATATCTGGGAAGCCATCCGACAAGTGTGGCCCGATGCACACTGGCCTGGTCAGCATCATGAGAACTTTGTCGAGAGCCGACTGTAGTTCTTTAGCTGAGGAGACTGTCCATTCGTATGCTTGTTTGCATTTTGCGTTTAGCTTCTTTTAGCGTATCTCTACTCATGTGATGTTTGCATAGCGTGTTGTCTCGTTTATATAACCTGGCGTCTGCTACGTATAGCATAGCCTGTCGTGTGCACCCTGTCAATACTTTTTCTGCTTCTGTCACTGCAATTCTTTTCATTCAGTATAATATTTCGTTTTTCTCTTCCCTCTTTCATTACTACACCAGTAGAACATACTATAACAGTTACTTTGAATATATTGAGACAGCATATAATACAGAGTATTGCAATAGTCACCACATGATAGAAAAAGGAAAAGGTCCCCCAAACACAGACCAGATCACCAAAGCGTGAAGAGTAAAGCCGCTTTTCTATACCCGGCCTTCCAGGCCTAACAAGAAAGAAACACAAGGAAGAAAGAAACAATCACGAAACAGAAACCACTCATGAGCTAGTCGAGCTCTTGCCAAGTCCCGTCCGATCATAGCTAAGTCCCAAAGCCTGCCAAGTAGGTCTCCAGGGTTTCGAGCCGTCCAGCAGCTTCTTCGCTTCCTCGGCGTAAGCATCACGCTCATCCGTGTTCGCCTTCATACCCGCGTCCGGCCGTTGCTTATCTTGGATATCGTTCTGATATTTGGCCGCCTTGTGGAACTGCTCGTACTCCCATCTGTAATTGACACAACCACCTCGTTAGCCCACATCCCCCACTCCAGTATGTAAAAGAAAACCCAAGCAAAATCGAAAACAATCGAGGGGAGCGGGAAAAAAAACATACGGAGCCATATCAGCCGGTGCCTCAGGCCAAACAAACGGAGTCTTCATCTCAACCGTCATCTTCTTCTTCGACATAGGTCTCCTCAACTTCCCGTACCCAAATTTACCCAAAGGACGAAGCCGAGTAACCTTCTGCTGCTCGACGTAACTCCTCACGGAGAGCACATCAACCCCATACAGACGTTTCAGGTAGTCGCGCATATCCAATTTGTTGAAGTTCAGCGGGACGTAGAAGGAAGCGTATCGCGGGGGCAGAAACGGTGTGCGGATGAGAGCGATTGTGAAGTCGGGACTGGGTGCAATCAGGATTAGAACGCATTGTTTCTCATTGCGGGTTTTTTCTCTTCGGTTTGAAGCGGTATCTGCGTGTGCTTGCTGCAACTTACAGGAAGACCTGTTTCCGCATGGACAGCGGCGCCGACGGGGGCACCCAGTCTGCGGGCTTCTTGGGAAACTTGGAGAATCTGCGGACCATTTTGCCGTTTGTTTGTGCGCCCAATGGGTGGTATTGAGTGGGTTGGTGCTGTTGGGGCTTTGGGTCGGTTTTCGTCGAGGAGAACTTGATATCGTTCGGGCTTTAGGCTCGGCGGAACTTTCGCAAAGTTGCGCGTGTGGCCGCGTCGCTTGCCGTAGTAGTAGTTTTGGCCAACGGATTTAAAGCCGTTTCAATACTGTAACAAGAGGACTAGTCAGAGGGCCAGATAAATAAATAATAATGTCAAAATAACAAAACAAAAAAGAGACAATGAGAAAATATATCTAGTTATACACAAGTTGAAATTTGAATGCTGCCGAAACGCATTCGAGCAATTTAATCTTTAAACGCTCATAATGGTCATTACTATCATCTAAATCTACTCATTAAACTTTTTGCTGCCCTTCATGTCTACGAAACGTGCAATTCGCCCAGTCGTTGAGAACTCTCGGTGATTGCATCAGATTCAGACTCCTTCGACTTTTTGGCACCGCTCTCCTCATCTTCTGCGTTCACGTCTTCCTCAGCTTCGTCCTCAGACCCCGAATGATCCTCATCATCGCTTCCTCGCTCTTCTTCATTGGCGCCGACTTCCTTCATGTATGCCTCCAGTTCACGAGCCATCTTCCTTGAGAACCCTGATGCTTCAACGTCAACGTCCAACCGCTTTCCAGGGTTCTCAAGAAGCTGTTTCTTAGCGTCAGCGAAGAACGGGCCTGGCTCATCGCTCACATAACGGAACTTCCGCTGGAAGTAACGCTTAATACAATTCACATCACGATCGAAGTACATTTCTGCATTCGCATGATCGATCGATACCATCTGCGGGAAATCAATGATGACCGGAACCAGCCGGATGTTCTCGTCGTTCTCTGCGTCTGCTGGGGCTTTGCCCTTCGCATTCGGGTCCTCCTCTTCTTTGATGAGGATATTGAATTCGTTAAAGTCACCGTGGATCAACCCATACCGAGCTAATCTCATGATCGTGTCCATGAGCTCTGAGTACAGGAGCGCTGGGTTCGGAACCGTCGAGATCTGGCGTAGTGGGAAGGCGTCAATAAGACTCATGACAATTGTGTGTCTGTTCTGCGCGATAGGCTCTGGTACGGAAAACCCGTTCTCTCCAAGTGCCTTCATGAACGCATATTCCTTCATCGCCGCCAAGCGTGACATATACATCCACGAGCCGGTTTGCCGGTGTCGTAGGTAGTCTCGGTTAGTTTTGACTGTTCGAAAAGAAATGCGACCGAGACGGTGGATCTTGAGAATGCGCTGTGTTCCCTGGTGGTTCGCAACCACGATAATGTCTGATTCCTTTCCGACACCGATTTGGTTTCCGACGGAGTAGACGCATTTTTGCTTTTGGTGAGCGTTAAGCGCGAGATAATCGAGACCACCGTAGGTGAGACGATATCCGTCGTCTATAGGAACAGTGGCAATTAGCAACTCGCTTAGAGACACGGCGAGAGAGAGTGCGCGATCCACGACGTACATTTGGCATTCTTCACCTTCGCAATAAGATTGGTTTTGGCCAAATTCGAAATAGCTCGGTTTACACCACTACCACCTCGAAGACCTGAGATATTGGCGATTAACGGAGTCGGAACAACTTCATGATTTCTGCTTCCTGTCTCAACCTAGAAAACGTCTTTTATTAGCTGTCAGACAACAAGCTACCAAAGCGGCAAGGAATCGCGGGGTGATGAGGGGCATACCGCAGAGAGAACACGAAAATCCTCAGAGGTGAGGTAACGAATCGCCTTTGCATCGAGCTTCATGATGTTCTATAGTCACTGACGCCTAGGACAATAGAACCAGTGACTTTCTTAAACCGCAGACTACATAACTGAGAGATGCCGCGGACATGGATGGAGAAAAAGTGACACCCCTTTGCCCTATGCCCTACTTTCCTTTCCGGGAGCAACATTCACCTTTTCTGGGGACCTCGAGGGCAGTGGACCGCAATTTGCCCATCTATAATCTGGAATAATAGGCGGGAATGGCTATACCCACCGTTTATCTAGTTCTATCCTAGTCATATTTGGTTTCTACGCAGGGCCAATTCTCAGGTTCAGTGTAAAAGTTGGGTTATTGATTATACTCAGTATAAGACCCGTACTCTACCTCCACCGATATCTAACCAGATACAGAAACCATGGCTTAATCATGGAAAACAATGCATGTCATTTTCCGACTCGTGCTGAATACATTAGACCAAATCATATCAGAGCGCCGGCTGTGTCTTCCTGCGCTGGATTAACCCGCATAACTTATAGAAAAACAGTATATCACTTCTTAAGCAGTACTCTGCTCACCCTCCCAGTTGGGATTCTGTAACGAAGACTGTTAGTTATCTTGTTTTCCATGCAGGAGTAGATGGAGGACTTACTTTGCGCAGAATGACCAACCCCTCGAGTGTGCTGCTGAGAGGGATATACTGCTCATCTTCAAGTTCTGCTCTTTCACCGTATGCGAGAAGGACTGGGGTGCTTTGTGTTTGCCAGCCAGTGATGGTCTTGGGACGTCCAGCCTGTCCAACAACATCCACAGCCTGTCCCACTCGCACATTCACGGTGAGGGGTTGTAAGTCCTCGTCGAGTGTAACAAGGAAGCGAGGATACATGGCGGTGATAAGGAAATAGAGGAGGTAGTGGTGTTCTGCAAGAATGAATTGTTTGGCGTCGATCATAGACACGAGGACTGTGAGCAGACCGGCAGCCGAGACACGTGACAGGACCTGGCGATCAGTGTGGAAAGGATTCAATGTCATGGTGCCCTTGCCCATGTGCAGGAGACCTTGGGCAATGCGGACCATGAACAGAGAGTTCTGGTCACGGTGGTAGTAGCTGGCCAACTGTCTGAGTAGCTGTGCCAAACGAGCATTATTGGTACCAGCACCGCAAAGACCCATGGCGAAGATTGCGTTGATGGCAACGTCGTTGTCATTGTCGTGGCTGTAACGCGACAAGGTGTCATACACCTTCATTTGTGGGTTGCTAGGGGTAATCAAACCCATAGCAAGGGGAACGGCCTTCCGGATGTTGCTCGCGCCGTAATGCATCAAATGGCCGAACTGTCTTAGAATCATGTCTTGGCCGACTTCCTCACCCATAGCAATTAGCGACAGACCCAACACAGCGTATGACTGAACAAGCTCGTCGCCCTTGTTTTCATCGCTCTCTTCAATGATATCATTACAGATGTGCAGGAGTTCCTGCAACTTGAGAACTGTACCTGTTCCAGCCCACGCGCAGACGGAGGCAAGTACAGATGTGGGTTTAGCCATAGGGTGGTCCACAGCTTTGAGAATATCAAGAATGACATCAACCTCTTCTTGGCGGCCGAAGTAAAGAAGGGCCAGACCAAGCGCCATGAAACGCGTCCACTTGTTCTTGAGCTGCTTCTGGCGCTCCTCATCCATCAGGGTCGTGGCAATTGCCTCGCTAACTTGATGGTTCGAGGAACCGACGAAAATCAAACCCAAGGAGACGGCCGCCATAGCAGATAGTTGCATATCAAGCGACACATCCTCGACAATCGGAAGCAAAACATCGAGGAGATCCTCCTTATTAGATCCAGCGTAGGCCAAACCAAGACCCATAATAGATGCGACTCTCATTGGCACGTTCTTAGCTTCCAGGTTTTCGGGGTCGCTCAGAAGCGCCAGAGCAGGATCGGAATCCAACCGGACACCCGAGTTTAGGATACCAATAGACAGTAGCGCACCGGCCTTAATCTGATCTTCCGTGGCATATGTGAACTTGTCGATCTTATCAAGACCAACATCGACATCCCTGTGCATTAGCATACCCATCGAAGCCGTTGTAGACAACATGCCATCGTCCTTTGTCTTCCAGACCCAAGGGCCTTTGTCACCCTCAACTAGCATCATCTTGTCATTTCCAAATCCAGCATTGGCGAATGAGTTGACAAAGGCGCTGGCGAGATTGTGGCGCGCAGAGTCGACGTTAGTCAAACCAGCTCCACGGCTGCTTTCCAGGTGCGTTTTGTAAATATCTTCCGGCATCTTGGGGTCGAGAATGTTGAGCTCCTTTCCGAGAGACTTGAAGTGACTGGGGATTAAGGTATTGTTAAGGCAATCCATGAAAGACTGGTCTTCCTCCTCATCAGGCATGTCTAGCCATATTTGTTGTCTGGCAACAAGGAAAGCCATCTGTTTCTTCAGGGATCTATCCGAGGTGGCATTGATATCACTCTTAATCAGCTCGGTGTCGTTCAAACGGATCGCGAGGACAACTGCCTTGGTAAATTCCTTGTAGCGGACATAGATTTCGTGGGCCGTTCGGAGAAACTGCTGGTCTTCGGGATATGTGAGGAGATTGACCATGGACACCATATATAGGCAGACTCTCGAGTATGTGTTCTCGTCCAAGAAGCGCGGGATCTCTTCGATGATTTCGAGCTCACTCAGAAGGTCAACGGCATCAGCTTCGGCATTATGGCTCAAGAAGTATGGGACAAGAGACAGCGCAAGATCGATCAAATCCTGTACACCCTTCTCAGCGTTTAACCTGTTCTGGTATTCTTGGCCAATTTCCAATGCCAGATGTCTAATGTATTCGTGTCCCCAGGAACCAAGGTCCTCTGACTTTGTCAACAGCCGGTACTTCAGTGTCTCAAGTTTCTCCTCATCTCCGTAAGTCATTCCGAGCACTGAAAGCATATCGGCCAAGGAGTCCTAAATTATCAATGCGTGATTAGTCCCCATACCGACCATACCCAGAAAGAGATACCAACCTTAACGGAGCCAGCAGACCATTTCTCATAGAGCTCCGTAAGCTCATCGTAGTGTGGTCTGAGGAACTTAAGAGGCTTCGGAACAGCTGTCATCGAAGAGGTTGAAGTCTTAATAAAGTTCTTAATGGCGTCTAAGGCGGGACCGTAAAGGGAGGTATCGGGTTCCTAGATGCAAAGCGGGCAGGTTAACGTCATCGCTCAGCATATCTTAGGCCTAGGTTGAAGAACCATACCTTTAATCTCTCTACGAGCATCTCCAGCTCATTTTTCAGTTGCTGATCCTCTTCACTTAGCTCTTCTAGATGATTCGTCCTGTTAGCATCCGCATAGGGCCGGAGCATTGCCCGGTGCACACAAGCGGCTTTGACTCAAGACCACAGCATACCTTCCTTGGGCTCTTCATCCTTCTTCTTTCCATCGGCTTGTTGCTTTTCATCGGTCGGGGCCTTCTTCGCCCCGGGCAGGTCCTTCACATCATCAACCTTGCCTTTGCCCTTGTCGGCGGAAGCTGACCGCTCGCCTTCTTTCGCCATTCTGACGGATAACTGGCGTCAAAGTATATGTATGTGCTATCGAGAAATTTGAGGGTTATGAATCAAAGAAAGGAGGTGGAAAGTGTGAGAAAACCGGATAATTATAGTAGAACAAGCCTCTGCACGACGAGCGATGGGGCAGAGACGGGAGGGTGAGCTTGTTGATGGAAGCAGAGAGAGAGCTGTCGCTCATCGCCATTGCGTTGCGCTGCCGGTGGAGCTACCGCCTGATTATGTAAGACCAGTCCCCGCCAAGAAATTCTTACATACATACGGAGTACATTTGCTACCATGCTTACCTTCAGTTATAGACAGATAATGCGATATAGGAATGGTTTGGACATAAGCTCGTCACTATGACTAAATACGAAGTGCCTTTTCTGGACCTAGTAAAGAAAGAAACATATAACAAAAACAACTCGCGTTTCGAGCCGCCAACTAGTAAAAGGCCTGAAGAATAGGTTGCTTAAAGGCACCTCAATGGACATCATAAAGCTGTCGAAGATAGTAAGTATCATGTACATCATCCATCATCTCTCCTTGCCACTCACAGATACTTCGTGCCTTCTAATTGATCTTACATTCAAGGTACACAGAATACCATGCAATAACTTTGATATACCGCAGGGGGTATCTCTTACCAGTACTCATAAAGAAAGTGTACAAAAGTATTTGAGAGACGGTTTCGCGTTCGGTTGGACCGGTCTCAACGTTGTCAGACTTGGTAGACTAGGCCCAGCCTTCTTCAGAATATTCTTCCGGGATTTGGAATAAGTCACTATGGACAGTCACTAGAGTCTGAGTGCCGCTAGCAGCTGGATAGAGTAAATAATAGTCTCTTGCGCGCATGAACTCCAGTAAGTACTCCATAACAGCCGGATATCTCTCCGAGATGACCTTCTCATGAGACGAAGTCTCTTCCTTGGCAAGCCGCTCTGAAATAAAGGACTGGAACTCGACCCATTTGTCTCCGAAATATAACGCGGCGTTGCTGTTCGGAACCTGTCCCAAGGAGACAGGCATGGCCTCTCTTTCATCTAAGCTCGCGAAGCGATAGGTATCGATAATTGGAGAGTTGAATGATTCATCCTTAGTAGGAAGTGAGGACGGAAGCTCTAATGATATTCCGAGTAGGTCAGATGCCGTCTGTCCCGCGTTTGCCGAGTATTTGTATTTCAGCACAGTATGCTTTAGGTAGTGGTAAAAAGAGACCGATAACTCTGTTTGCGGGGAAAGCATAAGCACATGGGTCATGTTTGGATCCTGGGGATAGAAAGCCTCCGCAGTTCTCAAAGCAGCTTCGGCCGCATCCAAAACGCCATGTCGCACACGTCGGCGGAGAGTGACCTTGTTCGAGGCATCAGAAGGCCATTTCATCGTCTTCAGAAATTGGAGAAGTTCCGGATCTACATCATGGGGCAATTCAATAGTCAGGCCGGGCACTGACCCAAGGTAGTCCGCATCTTTCAGGGATCGAATTAATCTGATAAAAGACCCCGAGGATTCGGTAGGAGCTTGAATCAGAATCTCAACGCGCACATCGTTCCACGCTGTTGATCAGTGATGGGTTAGTCTCGACATCATGTACATAGAAATAGTGGATTCCGATCTATATAAATACCTTGAAGGGATTGACTATCCAAGGAAGACATCCACATAACATCCCTAGCTGCGGTGGGAAGCACGATATGGGTGGTGCTGAGCTCTCGGGCCTTCTTCTCAATACCTTGTAAGAAAAACACTTCTTCCAAAGACTCGCCTTGTGTGATCACCGCCTGGGGAGATAGATAAGCTTGCACGTAAACTAACCCGGCTGCAACAGCCCTCTCCATGCGAGCATCCGTCGACCACTGCGCATAATCTACCCGACCATCTACAAGCTAAGTCTCAGCACATTGTTTCAGACACCTGCGAGAATATTGTCTAAACATACCATGCCAATAGATAGGGCAGTCGCTGCCATCGATGCCATTTACATGCTGGATTCCTTCAATCGAGACGTCATCCCTCCCCATGAGCACAAGATGAACCTCATTGGCCCTTTGATAAGCCATTTTACAGGCGAGAGGGAGAAGATCCGAGATGCTTTTCAGACTTGCACCAGCAAAGACAACTGCACGACTGGCAGGCAATCCATGGACACCAGGGAATTTGCGAAACCTATACAAAGTTTGACCAAGCGAGTGGAAGAGAACGCTTCCCTCATAGTAAAGACTCCCTTCGGGCGCAAACTCGTCCCGTGGAGGAGGGCCCCGTTGAGGGATGGCGGACGATGGTGTGGGAGACCATGACATTCCAGCTTTCTGTCGCGTTTCTGCAAGTGCAGGGTTCAACCGCTCCGGGGCAGGCGAAAGATCGGTGGGCATATTTCTAAAGAAGACATAGAGCATATACAATGCAGCAACTCCTAGTACGATTCGCCGCAGTCGTGGTGGCTTCCATTGTTTTGACGAGCGCCAAAAATGCGAAGGCTTCCGTGGCCGATGGTCGTCATCCTTCTTCCCCAACTCTTCATCAGCCAGAAACGGCTTCTTGGTAGTTAGCATAGTTTGCGCATGTATATGATAGCTCCGGGGGAGCTGTTGGATTCAAGTATGGCATTTGACTATGGAGATGTACAGAAGAAGAAAAGGCGGGTTATTGACCTCAGATTAAAGTAGGGGCGATTGCGCATAGTTCGGTTGCGGGATTCCGCGACAAAAATAAATTAAATAAAATTAAACGGCTTCTTAACTCCAGAACTGACACATGATTTACTCCACCGCTTTGTTTCCAACGTGATCGGCTCAATAGTTATTAATACATTTTAAACAACGGACAGATTTGAATGGGAAACATTGGTATAAAGTCCACAGAAATATCTCTAATCACCAAGCCCACGTCGCGTCAAGGCCATAATCGCCTATTTACCTCATCGGTCCACGCGGCGTCAGCTATATAAGCCACTTGAGCAGAACAGAGCTGATAGGCAACAATAGAACTTATCGATTAGTACAACTCTATTCGAGAACCATGGATCCTGAAATGGACGTGGATGCTCCGGAGCCTCGTGGTACCAAACGGGCAGCTGAAGAAATTGAAGCGTCGAAAAAACCTAAAAGAATCAGAGTCAGTTCCAACAGCCTAAGCCACGCCTCGACATATCCAACTAATTATGTATTTAGGCACTTGATCCAGATGTTGTGAATAAGATCGCCGCCGGAGAGATCATAGTAGCCCCTATGCACGCTCTGAAAGAATTAATCGAGAATGCAGTTGATGCTGGCTCCACATCCCTTGAAATTCTAGTAAAGGATGGTGGACTGAAGCTGCTGCAGATCACAGACAATGGCCACGGCATAGACGTGAGTCAAATCCGCCAACATTAGTAATGAAACGAAGTCACTAATTTAACAAAGCGGGATGATCTGCCCATTCTTTGTGAAAGGTTCACCACCTCGAAGTTAAAGCAGTTCGAGGATTTAACGTCCATTGGTACGTATGGTTTTCGAGGCGAGGCATTAGCCAGTATCAGCCATATAGCTCATCTCACCGTAACCACCAAAACCGCTGGCTCAAGTTGTGCCTGGAGAGCACATTACAGTGATGGAAAGCTTGTTCCTCCAAAACCTGGGCAGCCTGCTACCCCCAAGGCCACTGCTGGACGAGGTGGCACTCAAATAACTGTGGGTGGAACCCCAACTTTAATAACTGGTGCGGTATTAACCAATTTGGTCAGGTCGAGGACCTTTTTTACAATGTTCCAACGAGGCGGCGAGCATTCCGTTCAGCGAGTGAAGAGTATGCCAAGATACTGGATGTTGTTGGCCGTTACGCCGTACATTGCTCTGGTGTGGCCTTCTCCTGTCGCAAACACGGTGACTCTGGCGTAAGTATTTCAACGCCGGTAGCTGCCAACACCATCGACAGAATACGTCAAATCCATGGAAGCGCAGTGGCCAACGAACTTGTTGAATTCAAGGCAGAGGACCAAAAGCTAGGATTTCGCTCTTCTGGCTATGTCACAAACGCGAATTACCATGTCAAACGCACCGTTATCCTTCTATTCATCAACCACCGCTCTGTGGAGTCCACGGCAGTAAAACGAGCAATCGAGCAAACCTACTCTAGTTTCTTGCCCAAAGGCGGACACCCATTTGCCTATATCGACCTGGAAATTGAACCGCACCGCGTGGACGTGAATGTCCATCCAACAAAGCGCGAAGTCAATTTCTTAAACGAAGATGAGATCATCGATTTTATATGCCAGGAAATCAAGTCAAAACTTACCCAGGTTGACTCAAGCCGAACGTTCTTGACGCAGACTCTTCTTCCTGGTGTTAGAACGATGGAACCGGCGCCTCACGACCCCGAGTCAACAGACGCTGAAGACCGTACTCCTAAAACGCCAGCAACAACGAAGAAGCCATACGAACATAATCTGGTCCGCACAGACTCCAAAGTGCGCAAGATCACCTCCATGCTGCCACCCGCAGTTTTAAATACTACAGAAACGGAACCAACTTCTAGCGTTCTAGACCAAGGACTGCAATACGAAACTACTGATCGCGAGCCACTTCGCATCGCCCTCACGTCCGTGAAGAACCTACGTGCAAGCGTCCGCAACGCAATGCACAACACCCTGACGGAAACAATCGCTTCCCACACGTACGTAGGCATCGTCGATGAGCGACGACGCATAACAGCCATCCAATCAGGAGTGAAACTCTACCTCGTCGACTACGGGATGTTCTGCAACGAATTCTTCTACCAGATTGGACTGACAGACTTCGGCAACTTCGGCGTCATAAGACTAGACCCAGCACCTAAGCTCACCGATCTCCTCCAGATTGCAGCCGAAGCCGAACGAGAAGCCTCCAGCAGCCGAAAAGCAAATTCAAGCGAAGAAAACGAGGAAAATAACATCTTCGACAACGCACCAGACCTAGTCGCCAGATCGCTCATAGACAGGCGCGAGATGCTCAATGAGTATTTCTCGCTCGAAATCTCTGCAGCAGGTGAACTCCTCTCCCTCCCGCTCTTACTCAAAGGCTATCTCCCGTGTCTGGGAAAACTACCCCGGTTCCTCCTTCGACTTGGTCCCTATGTCGACTGGACAAGTGAGGAAGACTGCTTCCGCACATTCCTGCGGGAGCTTGCGGCGTTCTATACTCCAGAGCAATTGCCGCCCCCTCCGTCACCAGCAGAAAATGACGAAAATAAGGAATCCCCGGATGTGGATACGGAAGATGAACTCATTAGGAATCGTCGGTTACAGATAGCTCGGATGCTGGAATATGTGGTCTTCCCGGCGCTTCGGTCTCGCCTAGTTGCCACGAACCGACTCCTTCGTGGAGTTGTTGAGGTAGCTGATTTGAAGGGTCTATATCGCGTCTTTGAACGGTGTTGATTTCGTGAAGACTTATGAGCCCTCATCTACTACTATCTATTTAGTCTGTGATCACATCCATAGCATAACCACGTAGAGTATTTGATTGTGCCAGAAGACTCGCAAGTACATGGGCGAAAACTATCCTCGTCAGATGCCCTCATACTATACCAAATTGTATGTCCACATTTAGCTAAGCAGGTCATACTCCCAACGCTTTTAGAGAAAAAATAAATGAAATAAAGAGGAAATGGCAGTATATCGTTCCATTTAAGACGCCAAGGAAACTCCGAAGTGAGAACGGCTGGTCGAAGATGGATCGCAACGCAATGAAATGATATCAAGGGTGATCTGGATAGTCACCTGCCTCGGGTAAGCACAGTATACACATAGCCAATTCAGCCGAAGGATATTATTATACGGCAAACGCCGACCAGGAAGGCATGATTATATACATGACAAGCATTGTAGCATGCATTGCAAGACGTAACATCATCATTCGAGTAGATCGCATCCTTTAAACGCCCAAAAAGAAAAGTAACCCAGATATTCCATAATTCGTCCAGCCGTTTCCTTCGTTTATCTTTCATGCCACACATATCAATCGTTATCAAAAACCAGATTACTTCTGTATCATGACAAGTGGTGTTAAAACACTGCATCACGGCTAAGTGTACCGTAATGCTATGAGACGAAAATTATCGTTCACACTCGAAGAACAAGATTTCGCTTTAGGCTTGCCTATCTCGAGTATGGTTTGTTCATCAGCGCAATTTCACGAGCCACTGTGGGCCATTCAAGTGCTCTCTTTGGAGTCTTGTTCTGCCTCTGTAGTTGCAGTTCTTCCCATTTCAGGAGTTCATAGCTAAGTAATTTCGTTAGCTGACGCATTGGAAAGGTGATGGGCAAGAAAGTAAGCTGCACGAATTTGGAACTTGAGGAGGGTCTTACACAAAACGCAGATGTGGCTGGATGATAACATTAAGCCGTCGTGCGCGAACAAAACAACTACTCCTGTCAACTAAGTCTTCCAATGCGTCTTGAAGAATTACTTACTATGCTCTTGGGAACGAAAGGCCTAATGATGCCATAACTTCGGCTATGCAGATGGTCGCTGATCGCGAAACCCCTACTCGACAATGGACTAACGTAGCCATTCCATCCTTTTTGCCTTTGCCTACAGTGCCCTCATGTTAGTTAATGTTCTATTGTGAGCGATAGCCTCATGGGACAGATAACTGGTACTCACGAATGAAATCCAAGCAACGCTCAAGTTCCTGAGTTAATGGGTCTATGCCATTGTCTTGAACCTGGGTAACGTGCATAATATTTTCTGCGCCGAACTTGGCTACGTCGGAATTGGTCCAGGTAACCGACTCGCCAACACTCAGGATACGCCTGATGCCAAGAGCCCACAGCATCTCTGGGTTATTTGCGTGTGATAGATTGCCAAGATACATATATGGCAGAATCCGACTGGGGAGCGAACCATCGAAATACTTGAACCAGTGAGGATCAGCGATCCCGGTGGGGCTGCCTACTGGTGTCGCAGGGCTTTCGTGCAATAACCTCGCCTGTACTGCGCTTAGAAACGTGACATCAGACGGGTAGGCAAAGAAGTTCCGCTTTTGGTCGCAGTGAAGTTTAAGCCACGCGTCGGGCGCTGTCACACCCTCGGCAAACATCACGTAGGCAATGACCAGCAGTGAACTTTCTGTATAACCATCTGGGCAGTGGATAAGTATCTTGCGAGGCTTCTTGGCAATATGATCCATGGCAATGTCCCCGTCGGCATCCGGCCGGTTTTCTGGTTCGTCTGGGTTTGCTAAGTAATAGAGCCAGCGCACGGTATTCACGAGATCATCCACCTCCCTATCATCACCTGATGGCGGAAGAATAGACCCAGACGAAGGGAACTCCAGCCGCTGGGGGCCATCATCAAGCTGCTTATTCAGTTTCGCCAGGAATCGAGGACCTGGGAGGCTCGCAAAGTCGCTGGCCTCGATTAAAAGATCAAAATACTCCCCAGTTGTAGACTCGCAAGTCCCAGGACGTAATAAATAATCCGGAGTTGGCCCTTGCCAAACATTGGTCGAAATCTCAGAAGCCCGGGACATGTCACACATTTCCCACCGTTCCCATTGAACTGATCCTCTATTAGGCTTGGGTCTGTCAAAA